AGATGGTATTTATAAATTAAGCTGACCGTCTAATTGCTCCTACCTGAGTGTGTTGCCCTGTAGATACTTGTTCCAGATGTGCTGAGGTTTTAAAGGCCATGTTCATCCAAAGTAGATATATGTCCGGTCTCGCACCATGACAGAATTCTGTTTCACCATCTACTGCAGAAAAACCAAACACTGACATTTTGGATATTTCATCATGTAGAGTCATTATTGGGTAATGCAGCTGCATATGATTGGCATCCCTAAGAGATGTCTTTGGTTGGAGGTTATTTGAACACAATGATTGAGGTCTTTAAAAAAAAAAACCTACCATGCTACCCACTGTGTACAGGAAACAAGTTTGTTCTGCTAACAAAATGGCACATTTAGGTGACTGCTGCATTGCTACTGGACAATGTTTTTGTAACTGAATGCATGCTCCTTCTAGTTAAAGGTAAAAGATGGACTTGAAGCTTTCCAATATGTAATACATATTGGTGTAATACAGTTATATGGTCTGCATAGTAAGTGTTTGTGTTCTTATGGAGTCCAGGGGTGTGGAATTCCTATCGCCCGACACCCGGGACAGGCAGTTTCGGGCGTCGGGCGAGTAGTTTTTTTCTACATTTAGCCCGGCTGCGGGCAAGCAGCACTGCTAAATGTAGTGTGGGAGCGATTTTGTAGGAGTGATTTTAAACGGCTGTGCAGCCGTCCAAAAATCACTCGTAACCGGCCTGAATCACCCCCTCCCCTCTCTCTATCTCCAGCGGACGGACGGCCGTGCACTGCTCCCGGCTGCCCGTCTCTCTGCACCTGGGCTTCCTTTTTGCCGTAGTCTTCAGGGTCCCCCCCTCTTGTGGGGGATTGATGACCACGGCAAATTAGGTTCCAGAGCATGGAGCAAGGCAGAGAACGGTTCTCTACTCTGCTCCATGTGTGCAGTGACACAGGAATGCAGCCTTCCTGTCACAGGAGAAATAGCACTGACCTGTGCTAGAACTCCTGTGTTGGAGGTGACGGGGTCAATAAAGAGAACCTGTCACCTCCAAAAGCTATCACACAAGGGCTTGTTACTTTTGTGTGATAGAAATAAAGTCAAGTAAAAAATAAAATATATAACACTTAAAAATGTAAACATAAAATTGGAAAAAATAAAAATGTAAATACATAAAAATAGAAGAAAAAAAAGGAGATAAAGTTAAAAAAAATATATTACAAAGCAAAAAAAAAAAAAGTTAAATAAAATCTAAAAAATTAAAACCAATCCCTATCATCTGCATGCGAATAAACGCATGCATGGGGCATTGTGTGAGTGGAGTGGGCGATCCGTTACCACACGGCAATCGTGCACAAAACCGTGTGGATGGCCGGGCGGTCACAGAATCTCACACCACCGCCGATCACGCTGGCAGTGCCATTATTGTCTAACAGCACCCCAGTCGCACAAGTCAGATTGCGCAGTTTCCCGCCGCAATAACGCCCGTGCAAATGCACATAATCGCGATTGAAAACATTCCGAGATTACCACGCGGATGTAACCCCATTGAAATCAATGAGGCCGCGAGGCAACCGTACACGGCCTCGCCCAAGTCTGCACCCGCCCCAAACGGTAAATTCACTTTCCCAAGTAATTTGGAAAAATGGAATTACCCGCACAAATCTGGTCCAGACACCATGCCCCCCACTATACTCACCTTTCAGGGAACGGTCCTTCCCATCCACCAGTATAGGTGTACTATCTGTACCTGTGCCATTGTAATCTGAATTTCGCTCTCAAAATTCAAGCACTCGTTGGTCAGCGCAGTCACCTGACGGCACTGACCAACGAGAAGCTCTTCTTGGCATTGCTAAATACGGTTATGGTTAAAAAAAATATTTTTTTGTATCAGGACAAGTAGATTTTCATGAGGGACAAGTAGATCAGGCGCCCGCTTTAGTCCTTGGACAAGTAGTTTTTTTTTTAAATTTCCACACCCCTGCTGGAGGCTTCTTCATTGGTTTTATGGATTGTGGGGAGGGGGTTTGTTTTTTGTTTTTTAAATTCTTTATTCAAAGGTATTTTAAAACAAGTGCATAGACTTGTATAGAATATAGTGGGATAAATCTTTAGGAACAATTGTGTAAATACAATACGTCAATAAAAGCAGAGAATGGCGTGACTAAATACAGAGTATATAAAATAAAAGATAGAAAATACAAACCGTTTCCTTACAAAAGGCATGGTACACAAACTTGGTGAGAAAGGGCGTAACAGGCAGGTAATCCCTGGACAGATGCAATCAGGATATTATGTAGCAAGAATACTCTTCAAAACTAAGGAAGTATAAATGGGGTAGTTTTGGTTAAAGTAGGGGATGGGTAGGGGGGTGGGAAGTGGGGTTTAGAGAGAGGAAAGGAAAAGGTTAGGGCGCATAGGTGGAGGAGAGGGTAATGAGGAGGGGCCCACGGGGATAAAAGGTATTTGGGCACGGATAGGCGAGTGACAGACTAGGTTGGTTGGGTGAGAGCAATGGTGGAAAAACAGAGCAAGGAATGTGAGTCAGAAATCATTGGCAGCCCTAGTGGGGCTCTAAGGGGTATCTGTATAGGCTTAACAATGCCAGAGGCGCTGGTATTCCTCCTTAGTAGGTATGTCTATCCAGTAGAACCATGTGGTGCAAAATTGCTAGTCTGTACCCTTAAGGGCAATGGGGAGGTCTTCCATAATTGTGATGTAATATACTCTGCTTTCTAGATGGTGGTTGAGAATGCTTCCCTAATGCAGAGATGCAGGCACAAGCTGAGTTCACCAAGTAAATTATGACGACCGTCTGTATGTTTTTTTAAAGGGAGAGAGTTGTGATGTAGGAGAGAGAATTCTGGGGTTTTAGGAATTGGGTAATCAGTAAATTTTTGTCTGATCAGGTGGAGCAAAAGATGTGTATTATATTGTTCAACTTATTTATTAATGACATCGGGGAGGGTGTTAACAGCGATATTTCCGTGTTTGCGGATGACACCAAAATTGGGAGGGTAATAAAAGGTCCCAAGGCAAGGCACTACATCACCAACATTGTTCAGAAGTTTGGGAATACGGAGTGCAAAATGTGTGAGGTTCTTTGCCGCATCATTATGATTTTGTAACCTGATTTGTGTCTTTGCCCATAAAGGTTTTGAGGGATAAAGTAAAGTTTCCCATACTCTACTTGAATGTCCTGGCCGTGACCACCTTTCTCAGAAAGTCATTTTTCAATAGACTTTTGTCTAAGTAGCCAGGTGGAAAACTGTTGCCCTAACAGACTGCATCCAGCGTGTCCCCCGGCTGCTAGATACAGTTGTCTGCAGGGGAGATTCCTCTATCCATGCTGTTTAGCAGGGTCTGAGGACAAGTCTGAGTGTGTCATTATTTTTCAGATAAACATTCCAGGGTGAAGGTTGGAATCATGGGACTATGCTGAACAAATTTGAATGAGGCAGTGGCGCATGCCACTGTTCATGTTCTCCTCAACACACTTATTTCTTTGTCTGTTGCTGTGTGCTTCCTTTGTGTAAGCAACATAACAAAGCATGGGTGTCAAATGTGTATTCCCAGAACTCACATCTCCTGGTGTGTGTTTTACTAAGAGGACTTGTTTGTGTGACACATGCTCACATTTTCCTCAGCTGTCACTGGAGACACTTGTCATCCTCCAGATGTTGTCTGAGCTCTTCTGTGCTGTCTGAGGGCCTGAGAAATGGCTGAGAAACGTGTAATTAGGAGAATGAAACTTACCAAGCACCGCTGTCTAACCCTGTTCTTGGGGTGAGTAATTTCATCATCAGAGTTTGTTAAAATGACTTGTATATAATTTGTGTGCTATATTATCTGTCACATACTAAATAAAGGGGGTCACAGATATTGGGGTTAATTAGCATTTTATTACATTATTTTTTTATTACAAATATTCAATATACAGTATAGGTGTAAAGTATTTTTAACATGAAATAATAATTAATCACTGAAAGACTTTGTCTCCTTGAATGTGTGTTTATATTTGATTTATCACATTTTATCTTCACTTGCAATGGCTCTGATCTCTACAATAGTAACCTCATGGAACCGCACCCTGAATGCTTCCATGAGCTAGTGGTGTATTAAGCAGCAATAACTTGTAAAATAATGTTTTCAATTGACTTTTACATACCAAATACTGACAGAATCAATAATCTTGCATACATGCTGTAAATTCAGGTGATCGTTGTGACAGAAGCTTAAGTGAACTGAATATATTGTCACTGTTTGCCTTGTTTGGCAACATGACTTTAGGAGATTTAAGGTTCCATGTCGGTGTAGTATGTGTGCGTATATATGTGTCGTAAGAGAAAGGTTTTTAATGTGTTGGTGCTTATTTCAAAACCGGTCATAGAGCATTGATACCAACTAGTAAGCATTGCATGTAGCCAGAAAAAAGAACATTAGTGTATTGGTTACTACATTTTGTGACTAATGTTATTAAATTAATCTACGAGCAAGGCTGGATTCTTTTAGCATCACGGAATAGAGGTTGCTTTGACCAAGCTATCTATGATGACTCTGCTGCCAAAAGAGATTAGCATAAAATTAAATCCTCCGGTTAATGCTGGTGCCTGCACAATACATTTAAATTAAAACCTTGCATTCAGCTGGCAAGAAGCAATTGTGACAGGTCAGTGGGCAAAGCTGAAAAGCTGTATTTCTGTTCTATCATACCCTTGTGTAATGCTGGTCATTCTAAAGCATCGTTCAATATTCACTTCAGAAACTAGCAAGTGCTGATCCAGTCATGTGACACTGCTTGGTAGTTTTAGAGAAATAAGGGATTTTGTACTTTTTATTCTCCAGAACATACCATAATTTACACAGCACAAAAAGAACCTAACCTATATATAATCTGTCAAATGGATCCTGATGACCAGCTTTTTTTTTTATCCTTTATAATTTCTCTCATTGTGCTAGATGTTGCCTTCATACTTTCTTTGGCACTGTGTTTATACAAAATGTATTATATTTCTCCTAGCTGAATTGGATGGAGAACATGCACAGCGAGTCCTGGATATGGAATATGCCCAGCAGATAAAGCTAAAGGAACGCCAGAGGTTCTTTGAAGAGGCTTTCCAGCAGGACATGGAGCAGTACCTATCTACCGGATACTTGCAGATATCAGAGAGACGAGGCAAGTAACTGAACCCTCCTGTAGTCTCAAAAAATAATGAATTCCTGTGGCAGTCAGATTTAATTTTTCTAGAACAGGTTAGACACATAAAACGAACACCTAAATAGTTACAATGGGCCAGTGTCTTATTTTTGTAAGTGTAAAGGTTTTGATTAACTAATTTATTTTTGTTGCATTACCACCTGGAATAAAAATTAATTTTTTGAGGAGTATGTATCATTTGATTTATACGACACTTTGAAGATGCTAAGTATTTTTTTGTGATGCAAACAAGAAATGAGACCAAAAAAAGGAAACGGCATGCATAACTATTCACCCCCCAAAGTCAATACTTTGTAGAGCCAACTTTTGCAGAAATTACTGCTACAAGTTACTGGGGATAGATCTCTGTAAGCTTAGCACATCTAGCCAGTGGGATTTTGGCCCATTCTTCAAGACAAAACTGCTCCAGCTACTCCAAGTTGGATGGGTTTCGCTGGTGTACAGCAATCTTTAAGTCATGCCACAGATTCTCAATTGGATGGAAGCCTGGGCTTTGACTGAGCCATTCCAACACATTTAAATGTTTCCCCTTAAACCACTCGAGTGTTACTTTTAGCAGTATGCTTAGGGTTGTTGTCTTGCTGGATGCTGAAACTCCAATCAAGTCTCTACTCTCTGGCAGACTAAAACAGGTTTCCCTCAAGAATTTCCCAGTATTTAGCGCCATCCATCATTCCTTCAACTCTGACTAGTTTGCCAGTCCCTGCTGCTGGAAAAATATCCCACAGCATTTCTCTGGGTGATGAGAGGTCTTGGGTTTGCGCCTAACATAGCATTTTCCTTGGAGGCCAAAAAGCTTAATTTTAGACTCATCTGACCAGAGTGCCTTCTTCCATATGTTTGGGGTGCCTCCCACATGCCAACTGGTGAACAGCAAATGTGTTTGCCTATTTGCTTTCTGCAAGCAATGGATTTTTCTGGGCACTCTTCCATGAAGGCCAGCTCTGTGGAGCGTACGGCTTAAAGGGGTCCTATGGACAGATACTCCAATCTGCTGTGGAGCTTTGCAGCTCCCTAAAGGTTATCTTTTGTCTCTTTATTGCCTCTCTGATGAATTCCCTCCTTGCCTGATCCACGTGTTTTGGTGGGCAGCCCTCTTTTGGAAGGTTTGTTGTGGTGCCATATCTTTTTCCTTTTTTTAATATTGGATTTAATGGTGCTCCGTGGAATGTTCAAAGTTTGGGATATTTTTTTATAACCCAATTCTGATCTGTAGTTCGCCACAAGTTTGACTCTGACCTGTTTGGAGAGCTCCTTTGTCTTCATAGTGCCGCTTGCTTGGTGGTACCCCTTTGCTCAGTGGTATTGAATACTCTGGGGCCTTTCAGAACAGGTGTGTCTATATTGAGATCATGTGACACTTAGATTGCACACAGGTGGTCTTTAATTAATGATGTGACTTCTGAAGGTAATTGGTTGCTCAAGATCATATGTAGGGGCTCCATAGCAAAGGGACACCCCTACATACATACATATGCACACATCACTTTTCCATTTTTTATTTTTTAAAACAAGTTATTTTCTTGATTTCAGTTCCCCATTTTGAATTTTTGTGTGCATGTCCATTACAATGTAATCCAAATACAAATCCATTTTAATTCCAGGTGGTAATGCAACAAAATAGGAAAAATGCCATGAATGAGATAAATACTTTTGCAAGCCACTGTAGGTGCTATATATTGTGAAGTAATCACTGCTTCTGATTAAATGATGATGCATCTTCTATTCATTTATGTCCCAGTTATTGTAGCCAACACATTATATGCCGTAAATATATTTAAATGTTCCTCAATTCAAATCCTGGTAACAAATGGTCTATTAATCATTTTACGCGGCACACTGCTACACTTTCCCACCCAGAGTGATTAGCTATAATCCTTTTCAACTTGAAAAATAAACCGTCACAAATCTGGACAATTCAGACTGAACATTTGAGTGGTTACTAGGGATGCACCGATACCGGTATTTTGGTACCGAGTACAGATTAAAAAATTTCGGCACTCGCCGATACCAATTACCGAGTAACGGAAGTCCCATTCAGGAAGCCAGGTGGCGTGTAATGACTCGCCACCTGGCTTCCCGATTAGCCGAGAGCTTGCCCAAATACTTGGAATCGGCACCGATATCGATACTAGTATCGGTGCATCCCTAGTGGTTACCTCCAGTAAAAACTGCTAATTAGAATGATCCGTAGCTCCTAAGGTGAAGACTGGTAAAGCTATATAACAATCTTGACTTTGTAGCCTCCTGAGCTTCCCTAATAGTCAGGGAGGCTACCAATCATGCTAATGCAGCAATATAGAGGCTCAGGAGGGGATGGGGCCTAGCTGAGATCTGTTTTCTACTTCAGCAGCCACTATTTCTGAATCTTAAGCTCCTTATTAAGTTATTATATTTATTTTTGCTATAGAACCTATTGGAAGCATGTCCTCCATGGAAGTTAATGTAGACATGCTGGAGCAGATGGATCTAATGGACATGTCTGACCAGGAAGCACTAGATGTCTTTTTAAACTCTGGAGGAGAAGACAACAGTGTATTGTCTCCGATGTTAGGTAATACTAAATCACATCTACTTTTAATGGCAATACATTCTATCTGTTAGTTACACATATAGTGCATGGTGATTGATTCTCAACTTTTATTCTGTGCAATAATGTACAGCCATGGGATAGCTTAAAAAAGGCATCTAATTTCATATGCCCTCTCCTAATAGCTCACTGGCAAGGGATATCCTAACTCCAATCCCAAGGAAGGGAACAGGGCACATAGACAGGCTTAGGTCATTATGATGACTTATTCCTGAATCAACTTGTTCATGCAAATTTTAGGTTTGCTAAAATACTACTAGGTGGTATTGAAATATAAATGCACTACTATCAAATGGTGTTTTTGTGGTCACATTCATTTCACTGTGTTCATTGGATTAAACAGCTCTGCTTTAGATTACCTACTTGGACGTCCCAAAGGAGTGCCACAAATGGGTGGGCAAACAGAAAACGGACAAACCATCCTAAAAGAAAACGATACAGGACAGTCAAACTAATACAAGTATAGTATTACAGGACAGTCTAAATGGCATTTGCTGATGCTGCCACATTCACCTTGTAAAACTAGGTAAATGTAGGAACTGGTTGCCAAGTGGCCACTTTACAAACCTGAGCAATCCATGCTTGATGTTGGAAATCCCAGGATGCACTTATTAATTTGGTAGAATTCCCTGTAACCAGAAAAAAATGATTTCTCTGTACTTGATAGCATATCCATGGACAAAAGTTTGCTTGAGCAAGTATCAGTCGGTGCTGCAAGCCCCTTATGTGGGCACTCTACAACAATGAACAAGGAAGCTGACCTACGAAACCCGGACCTGGAATTCAAATACACCCTAATCTCCCTGACTACATTCAAAGAATGTATGGCAACTTTCTTAGGGTGGACTGGTTTGTGGCATTAGTACAATGTCTTCTTTCAGCTGGAAAGCTGATACCACCTTAGGCAGGTAAGAGTCACAGACGCAGATTTACTTTATCCCAATGAAGGATCAAAAATTAAGGCTTACACAAGTACATAGATCTAGTAGTGGCTACCATCTTTCTGTCTGTAGGATCCGTAAAGGAGAGAATACTCCACTGGAGTATTCCTGGCTTTATCAAGAAACTGGAGGAGTAGCAACAGACGGAGGTGTCCACTCCGAAAGACAGTTGCTTATTCTCATTATAGTTAAAATTGTCAAAAAATGAATGGTAGGAAAAAACCTTAGCATAACACTCCAGCTTATGCATCCCAAAAGGTACTGGTATGTCAGATGAGACAGCGGGAACATCTACAATCCTAAGTGTATCCCTTTCCAACTTCATCAGTTCCGACACCAAATCCCTCTCCTCGAGTAAAGTTGATGTGGACCCTTTATTGTTGCTTCCCACGGAGGCTGACCCTGAGTCTGACTCATTAGGTGCAGAGATTGTGTCCACTGCCTAGGCAGACTCCTCTTTGGAATTATCTGAGGGCACAGAGGTGGAGGAGGGAGGTGTTGCTCATTCGCTCATGGCTGAAAAAAAGTGCTTTCTCTCTGTGACACAAAACCTTCCAAAATGGACACGGGTATTCCAGGGTCATTCTCATGCCTGGACTCCCTAAGGCAAGCAGTGAGGAACCAGAGAGAATTGAAAGGATGCTGCTGGTGATGGTTTGCAGGTGTACAAAATGGATCTCCCACAGCCCCCTGCATCACCATACTACAAGTGTGGCAAAGTAAGAAATCATGTCCATGGAGACCTGACCTCCCCTTACTGACAAGCTGCCCCTGGCAACCACCTACTGAGCCTGCAACAGTCTGCGGTGACTGGTCAACAAATGGGTGCCCTTGCCTCTCATTCCAGTCTTTTATTCTGGCTGGGTGCAGTATCTTCCCATGCTGGCTTCATTCCCAGCATGTGGATTTCCAAGGGAAGGACCACCCTCTCCCTCCCTGCAATGGTTCCTGTAGAAAAGTGCCCTGGCTAAAGATGGCCACCAAGACTCCCAGCCTAAGCCATAGCTGACCCTGGGAGGTAAAATGTTCAGCTGGTCCATGCCGCTGCAATGTGTCTGCAGCCACCGCTCACACAGTAGCAGTTTTTTAAGCTGTGACGAGGCAGTCCTCAACAAAAGTCCCCAAAGGGAGAAAAACCGAGGAAGAGGTTCCCAAAGCGACCCTGGGCAGTGAGACTATAGAAGTGCTTCCGTGCGCTAAAGTACTCGTGGTTATAGCCGTCACACAGGCTGCTGCCGAGGGCTCCTCCCCAGTCCCCAAAATGGTGGTAGTAGACAAAACTCCCCTGAGGGACATAAATAGAAAGCATGGCCCGCACAATGAAACCCTCCACTTACCATACTACTGTTTTAGGCCAGAATCACGAAGGTCCTGCAGGAAGAATAAAACGCCACTTGCCGCAGCTGGGCTGCTGCATGTCTGAGATGGGCACTGTGAAAGGAATGTCTGAACCTGAATGGTCATGTAACCCCATGAGTAAAACTCCACAGACTGTCCTAGTCAGTGCCAAACTCGCACAGATGGAGGAACTTCATAAGCTCCATGGCTAAAACTAGGGAGACTACCAGGATTTATATTATCCAGCCAGTGACTTGTTTGAGGTAAAACCAAAGAAACTAGGATTTCCTGGAGGAATGTTTTATGTCCTATGTTCTAGAGACTTGGATAAAAAGTGTTCCACAGTGTGGGGGGTTTTGACCACCAGCAGGGTTTACTCCTTGGCTGGCTTGTTTGTTTTTCAGTTGTACCTAGTGCTCTACTCCTGCAGGTTGCACTATACCCAGTAGGTGATGATCGAAAGCAGAGCTGCGTTCTCCAATGAATGTGAAATCTACTTTAGTAATCTATCTCAATGCACATCACATGTTACTAGATACACTTCACCCCTAGCTTCCAGATTGGTTAATGTTTATTTACAATTTACACTTACTGAGTTAGGCAAGAGCTGGGCTATGCCTGTAGAAAGTGCCTTTGTACATTTACTGTATACACTTACTATCAGGGTTATTCACTAAAGGGTGAAGAGTTTGGAGAAGGTAGGAGAAGTGAACAATCTAGGACAACATAGCTGATTTGGAAAAATTCTCCAATTCAGCTCACGTTCCAGTTCAGCTATATTGTCCTAGATTGTTCACTTCTCCTGCCTTCTCCAAACTCTTCACCCTTTTGTGACTAACCCTGTATGTGTTTATAGGAGTTAGACCAGAATTGTGCTCTGTTTTTATACGAGTTAGGCAGGATTTGGGCTGTGCTTGTACGATTTGTTTTTATACATTTGCTATATACACTTAATGTGTATTTATATGAATTGTGCTGTGCTTGTAGGAAGTGTCTTTACATTTTACTGTATACGCTTGCTGTGTGTTTTGTATGTGATTCTGAGTCAGGAATTGTGCTGTGTTTGTAGGAAGTGTCTTTCAAAAGTAGCATTGTGTGGAGCATTGGCATTTGATGTTGAAGAGGAAGGTTACACACCTTTTGAGCAGGAAATGTGATGAATAGGCCAGAATAACTGCTGCTTGTCACCAGAAGTTGCCTGGACATTTACCATGATAGACTGAGGACTGCAACCAAAACTATGAAGTCATTTACTTTGCTAGCTGTTATTATTGGAAGAGGACTAAATTGTTGAAGTGTTTAATAAGTTAACTATATATTCATTTTTTTTTTTTTTTTTTTGTAGTGTTTAAATAAAATAAAAGTTTTAAACATAGACACTACTACAGCTTATCATTGTATTTTATTTACTGTCCTCTTTAAAGGTACTCATGGGTGCAAAGCTGGCATTCTCAAAGAGGACTAAAAATGTTTGGCATGGGAGAAGCACAACCCGTGCCACTTGTTTTAACCCCCTGCCATTAGCTGGCACGCTTCTCTCTAAGCACCACACACTTAAGGGAGGCAGGCATTTCCAGTGGTGACGTCAGCATGCAAGAAATTACATGGTCCTGTTTATTTTCTTTTTCATGATCTACCTGCCAGTGATCTTACACTTGCATGCAATGCTAACCCCAACCACTTCCTTGAATGTAGCTTGCTGATATGCTCATACAAAAATGCCAATACACATTACCAACTACCCAGGACGCAGACTATAAAATGCCCAATTTAGAATACAGAGACAATCAGGAAAATGTGCTCACACTTATCTAGACACTTAAATAGAAACTGAGCTCTGGAAGCTGTTCCCAAACAGAGACAGGACTCTGTTTCCTCATGTCGGAGCCTCCAGCAAGTATAACAGTGAGCAGCACAGTAGTGACCTTACCAAATCTCACTCCAGATCTCCTGAGACTAGCAGTCAGAGGCTGCAGTGCCCTAACCTCACACTGCAGATAATTGGCTATTAGGCTGTAGGCACAGGAGTTCCTAGACATACTAGTATACCATGAAGTGCGCTTCTATTTTTCAAGAGGATTATAGACGAAACTACATTTTTCAGGGTAATGCTTGGGCACAATTAACAATTCTAAATGTTCCATATAACATACCATTTTTATTTTTTACTCCAGTTCCACTTTAACCACTTGCCGTCCGCCCGTAGTAAAAAAACGGACGGAAAACATAAAATTTGCATTAGTGTGATATAGAGATGGCCAGGCATTGGTCAGGGGTATTAGGAGTGATGAGATATGTAAGAGGTCAGAATACATTTGTAACTGCTACATTTCTGATATGCCTCCACTGGCTGTAAATAAAATCTACTAGTCTCACTGCCCTGTGAATGGCATGCTGCATTCTCCCTGGCAGGATACTGGAGAGTAAGGAGAAGTGTAGTATGTGCAGGATACTAGACTAGATGCTGCCTTCTGTCTACCCATCACTTCCTGGGTTCCCAATGTGCTTTACATCTCTTTCCCTGCTGCTTGATGTGATGCAATCTCAATTTCTCAAAACTATATATCCCATCGTCCATTGCTTTCAGCAAGCAATGATAATGTGACATTGTTCAGAAACTGAGTTGTAGTTCAGACGGCAGGCTTAATTAGAGTGATGACACAAGGAAGTGAATATTTACAGGGCTGAGTAAAATTGTGTCAATGCATTGATGAAATACATAGGCATCTTCAGTAAGTAAGTTTACAAACTTCTAGATCGATGTGGTTATTAGGAGCGGGATAGAACTTAGTGATACTAAAGTCAAAAAGGATTTTAAACTATTTAATGCTGGTGAAATCTCTTACAGTGGATGCTGCTTGTTGTTGGTTGTTTAAAAGTTTTAGTTTCCTGCAGAATCAGCTAGTCCCCTGAGCACTGGTCCTGACTTCCTGTTTTAGAGTGACTCCTTTCCAATCAGAGTGCTATGCAGTCACCCTGGGTGTGCTAATAACCTGTACGTGTCTCCACAAATACACAGACACAGCAAATCAAGCTACTTCCCTCCCCCCTGGCCCCCTTCTCCAATTAGTAGATGGACAGTTGCTGGAGTCTGCTCTATCCCTTGTAAACTTGTACTCGACTGGAAGTTCAGGGAAGTGCAGCTAAGGGACTTGGAAGCAGCTGTTCAGAAACATGATTATTGTAAATGTAAAGCAATGCTTTGCTGGACAATATACTGTATATTTGTTAGATCTGGAATCCTTATGGAAATAAAATACCACTCTAAGGAAATTCAGTATAGAAATACATATTTGTTTTTAGTTTTTGAACATAGATACCTTTTTAACAACAAAATACAAACATTTCCCCAATACTCAGCCCTCTTAGCTATTTTGGGGTTTTCAGTGTTTGCAGATATCTGGGAAAGTCATTGCCAGGGATTTGTGTTTATTTTCTAGGCTATTAGATCTGAGAAGTTGGGGATGTTTGTATTGTACAATTACTTTCCCCTACTATTGTGCACCTTTCAAGTTGCCTATGAATTTATTATGCTCCTACCATTTAATCATTTTGTATTCTGGTTATGCAGAGAGCTGAAGCATGAGGCCCCAGAACATAGATGAAACTGAAACCTTTTTGTATACATGAATGGGCAAAGATGCCTTCTAACTGCTACACAGATGTGATCAACAGCTACTGGAGGGGTTTGGTTTCAGTGGTTTCCTAGAGATAAGACCTGCACATCTTTGCCATCACTGAGCTTGTATAAGACAGTTAGACTGTGAAATGTTGTGGGTGCTACTTTTAAGCTTTTATTTATGGTGCTGACTTCAAGATCAGAACACAATGAGGGATTTTTGCAGTAAATTTATTTTTTATTTAGATCTTTTTTAGAGAACATTTTACAGCCATGAAATTGCAAGCCAGCGTTGTGTTGTTAGAGCTCTGAATGAGTCTCCTTTTGACGTGGGGAAACGGAGCTTATCTACTTGCACAGCTCTCAGTTCTGCCATAGCTGGCTGCCTGTGAGATGCACAGACTGGGGAGAGGAAGGCTCTGTATATGGCAGAGTACATCAACAAACATCAGCTGCAGACCACATTGGTGATGGTAACGCTACAGATATTTTATCCTGTAGTAGAATATGACAACACTATAACAATGGCTGCAGCATTTTAATATAGGGTTTGTTGTGACAACCAAAGATATCACCAATGTATACATACTATGATCATTTTCCTTCCGTGTTTACATATAATTGTTATTGCCGTCTGTCTAAAAATCGTTGGATTATAGGCTGGAAAATATTTGTTTTAATATATAAAATAAGCCATGTAAACACATAATGTGCAACTACCAAGAGATTTCCAACCATTTGCATATAATAATTAAAAAAACAATCTACTATGAATGTTTTGCTGCAATAGGCAGTCAACATGATTCAATAAATGTGTACCTAGGGAACATTGAAGTGTCTGGCTGGGGGCTGGAATAGTGTTGATATCCTCTGGTGCACTGCGGGTCAGGAGGACACATCATCTGGAACAAGGTTAGACCAGGGCTGCATTTCTGCATGGCCTGGGGTGACAGGTCTGCCAGGGACAGCACAGCTTGTTACACATCACGTAGCTGGCTCAGTATGCTCATGTATAATAAAAGACTGACACCCAGGTTATCGGTGCTGTTTCTGCTCTGTATATCTGTTGGTGGAATATTGTGCCATGGACTTATACTACTACTACTATTCTACTACTGAACTGGTAGTAGAATAGGGTGAGAGTTTGCCTACTCATTTAGTCATTAGTTGTAGAGATGGTTAACTGCCTATTTCAAGTGTATTTCCACTTTTGCAGTCAAATTTGAGAAACCACCCTCTATATTTTTGTTATATGTTCCCATTCACACAACATAATGAAAAATAATTTTAAAAAAAATATTTCATACCTTTTTAGATGTCTCTGTGTAGCAGGCCTTTTGGAGCTTCCCTCTCAATTTACAAGGAAGGGAAGCTCTGTCTGTCCCCATAGATAGACTAGGGACAGACTGAGCGCCCCCTTGTTAACATACAGTGTTTCTAGATCTTTAACCCTTTGTTAGGACAGACAGTGTTCAAATCTAGTTTACAACTAAGATCTGCCAACACAATACAGAAAGGGTTAACATGAACCTGTCCAGTCCCACTTGCATTCCAGAGCAAACCTCAGTACAGAGAACTTTTCTTTCAGAATAGAGTATGTATTGGGCAAACAGCAATTTAATTTTAGGTTCTGATATGTGAATGAGAAATGTGACCAATATAAAATGGGTGTTATGCCAATTTGGCTGCAAAAGTGGAAATACACTTTAAGCCCCTTCACCCCCAGTCTTGGTGTACCTTGTGTTGGTATGACTTCTGGTTTAGCCAGCTGACTGCAGTAGATGAGGGCAGCTCAAAACAGCCTATGGGTGAGAAGGAAGTATAACTTGGGGGCTGGTAAGTAAGGGGGTTGTCAAGATAGCCATTATTTAATGCGAGCTGGCCTAAAATAGAGTAAGTCCCATTCTCTATAATAAAGGGGTGGGAAAGCACACTCTGTTGCTTCAGTAATTTATCCTATGGACAGGTATACCTGTTTACACTTTAATAGCATATTCACTGTGTATTGGAACCATTTCTCCTCCTTTTTTTATTATTAAACTCCAGTTATTCTTTAGCTATATATTACAGCAAATAAGCTGGATAACATTATCACAAATAATCAGACTCGGGCCATAGAAAAGCATTTTAAAGCTCACTTTACACATTCTTCACTGACAGCTAAGCACCTGCAGCAAGTAAATTAGAATGAGAGCTTTATGCTGTGAAGGTGTCTGCCATTAGACGCCTGTAATGTGGAATACATCAGACCCAGATGGAAAAGAACATTATGTTCATTTACTTTTTATATAGAAATCCATCGGTGTGGGGGAAGGGGGGGAAGAGTCAGGGAAAAGGTCACCACTTTAGTGTCCTGTGTGCATCTTGATGCACTGACCACCTGCTTTCAGATCTATGACATTGGTGCATATCCTGTATGAGATACATTTATGCATTGCTCTAATACAGGATGGAAACGCCTAAGCCAGTGCAGCAAAGCGTAAAAGACTTGTGTTTTTCATACCTCCCCTAAAACAAAATAAATAAATTGTAACGCCTGCACCCAGCAAGACCAGAGCCTTTCCCTGCATCCATTGAAGCCAATGTAAATAGGCGGATGTTTGATACCAATAGAAAATAGTTTGAAGAAGGGCTTGCCACGGTTTGTCCCAAGCTGTTCTGAAAGGCGCTTTGTGTTTACTGAGTGCTGCTGAACATGTTCTTTTGTAGGGCTAGCAGGGTGTGTGTGCAGATTGGGGGATTCCTCGACTATAACAAATACTCTATTTGTATACACGAAGGATATGATTATGCTTTTACTAATAATCTTACCTTTCAAATATGTTTTTGTTCCCTTACAGTACATTGTTTTAGCTTCTATAACTCAAATACAGGCTACAATGTGACCAATAATTCAGGACTACCTCTAATTCAACACAGAAAATAGAATTTTCCAAACCCAGCCAATCAGTGTTGTCCCTTTTAGGTATTGCTATCTACCAGTTTGAATAGGAAAAGTCACAATTGTCCCCATAAGACAGATATCTTCTGTCATCACTTTTTAAGGTGTGATATAGAATAAGGTATTGATGGCATAAACAATAAAGTTGGCTGTACAAATTGCGCTCTGGTAGACTAAGACTGGCAAGAGACAGTTTGAATTTTAACCTATTCAGCCAATTTGAACCGCGGGTGGCCCTGCGAACAAAAAGTAAAATGAGCCGAGTAGAAACTTATCACCTGAACAGTGACTGCATCTTAACAGAAGCAGTCACTCTTCAACAGTGCTGTATTCAGGAAACCACGGGTGTCCTAGCCATCTGAATACAATAGCCGGAACAAGTAGAGGTGAGACGCTGGATTCAAATAACCAGAAGATCGTCCAGAACACCATAAAGTACAATGGCTCAGGGAAGGCCACTCTAAAAAAAACAGGATGCCCAAACAATGGGACCCAGAATTAAAGATTCACATACATAAAGTTCAATAAGAATGTTAAACAAGAGCCGTTCAACAGTCCAAAAACTCTCAATAATAGAATTGGTTTATAAATGACATCACAGAACATCCAACGCTCCTTTGGGGCCTAAAGACCTCCCCTTTCTTCAGGGCTTAAAGAGCAGCCTTACTGGAGCCATTGTGCTTTATTACCCCATCATAAATCCAGCGTCTCACCTCTACACTTAATACAATAGATGGTAGTGGAGATTCCTCCATCCACACTGTTCATCATGGATGGGGGACTTTATTGGAGAGTAAATTGAGCCATGTATGGCTAGCATTGGCAGGTTTAGGTCTCTGTCTCTTTCTTTGTAGATTTGTTGTTCTAGGTAAAGGTAGTTGAAGATGAACATTATGGCAGCGCTAGTCTCTAGTAGCTGACAGTTTTAATACATACACACCTTATCAATACATTTTCTAATAACCCCTCTTTTGTGTTCTTTCTTCCCATGTCGAAGGCCCTGACTTTGATTCCTGCCGCAGTGAGATCACTCTTCAGGTCCCCAGCCAAGCAGAGCTCCGACAGAAACTTTCCTCGCTGTCCTCCACATGCACCGATTCAGCCAGTCAGGAGAACAGTGAAGACGGAGAGGAGTCGCCGGTTATCCAATCAGACGACGAGGACGTTCACGTGGACTCTGTACTTCTGAATGTTAGCCATATTGTAAAAGCTACTTCTGATGCTAGCGATGAAAGTGATACTCACACAGCATGAAGAGCGGGTTTTACTGGAGCAAAAGCTCACCTGTACTAATCCATCCCTAAAGTCCAAACACCCACTCACATACCATTCAAGGGTTCCCTTTACTGATTTACACAAAGATTGTGTATTGGGGTCATTTTATGATGAGAAGAGTGTTTGAAATGAAGCCTTTGTAGAAAAGAGGCGGCAGCAGCACTGAATCTCCACAGTCAGGCAGATCTACCTGTGCACTTAGCTTCTCCAGCAGTGCCTGTGTTTGCTTCGATTCTAAGGGCCATGTCATACTGTCGTCTACTGAAGGTTTGACTCAACACTTCGCTATATGGCCCAGTGCCATCAGGCAGAAATTGTGGATCAGCACAATTGGAAAGGAGTCAAAATGTAGAACTACAGTCTATAGATAACCTGGATAGAGTCATTATTTGCGACTCCGTATGTACTCTAACCTCAGAAGACAAACGTCTCCTGAGAGAGGGCACACGGCATTTTGATTTTGTAATGCAGATCAGGGATAAGCCTGAGGAAAATGTCCACTTCATTAAACCAGTATTAGATTTCTTTTTCCTGTGCCAATTACTGTGTACTTATCCTTGATGAATAAAATGTCATACCACAAATGCTGGGCTATTCTATTCCACATGGATAACAAAGAGTCTGCATTCTACAGCAGCCACAAATGAAAGTCTTCCACCTTTTTGTATCTCTATCTACTAGGAAAGGCTTTGATGCACAGATTTTTAGATGAGGGAGAGCACGGGCTCAGACAGTCATATTTACAATCCCGGACAGCTGAGGTAACAGGAACATGTCTGTCTGATATTTTCTATATTTCTGTGACGTCATCTAGGCTGAAAAGTGGAACGGCACCTTTGCTCCTATCAGATGCACCTTTGGTGCAGTTGCACTTTTGGGGTCTATTTGTATAAAGAATTTGCATAGCAGTTTATCTATGGAAACTTCAGGTACGTTTTTTCTGTGTGAATTAACCAGCTGTTGTGAGAATGGGGCAATATTGAATGTTCGTAGGGTATTTTCTCTTCTGGCTGAATGTTCTTAGTGTATTTTCTCATATGGTTGAATATTCATAGGGTATTTTATAGGGATGCACCAAAATTTCTGCCGCCGACACATATCGGCCAAAAATGGCACTTTTGGCCAAATGCATCTGTAGTTTCTCTCCTCCCCACTGTGTCCCCTCTGACGCAGCACAGTTTCCAGCAGAGATAAGAGAAACTGTCAGGAGTCAAGCGATTCAGGGAGGAGAGCGCTGTGAGCGTGTCACAGGAGGCTGAGCTCTCCTCCCTCACCACCCCACTCAGCCTCCTGTAACAGATGAGAAGAGCAGTGTGGGGGCAGAGACAGCTGTCACTGGCGGTGAGGGGGAGGAGTCAAATGAGACCCAGCTCACCTCCCCGTACCGCCTGCTCAACCTCCTGTGAGAGCCGATCCAGGATGGAGAGTGGTATACAAACATTAAGTGATGGCTGAAAGTTTGTAAATAACTGGACCTAGTATGAGTTGCTATGTACCAGTTATGAATGAATGGGAAGTGATCTACATCACCTCCTGTTCATTCATGATTGTGGACATAGTAAACATACTACTGTATGTCCACATGTTATAAATGAACAGGAATCCTCTTTACTGAGTGTCCCTGCTCATTCATAACAAGGGCTGCAGAAAAAGATTGATGACTCAATTTCTTTTTCTAGCCGAATGTTCACACAGCTGGTTAAATGTTCCTGTGAATATATATATTACAAAGTGTCAGCTGGTACTTGCTACCACTTTCACATGACATGAGCACCAGCATATAATGAACAGCCCCATCAGTTCTGATACCAGCGGTATTTACTGTGTTGCAAGTCGATACGTTGGCTACAAAAGTGCTGTAAAATATCATCCCCCGTAGACCGGTGCTGGTGATTTGTCTTTGGCAGATAGAAACAATGTTGCAGGACAAACAAAGAAAATCTCCTCCCTGCTCTGATGATCCATGCAGCCTCCTGCAGGGAGTAGATTTACTTTTTCTGTTTTGCAACGTTGTTTCTATCTGCCAAAGACAAATCACCAAAACCGGTCTATGGGATGATTATTTAGGGTGCACAGTGCACTGTACAGCACAGCTCATCACACTGTACCCCACCATGCAGTGTGGACAAACTTTGTGTGGATAACCTTGAGTAGTCATATTGAACAATATCTGCAGTTTTTCTCTGGCAGTTCTTTGAATTCAGACAAACTGTATATGAGTGGGAAGGAAATGAATGATCTGCAGCACGTCGCAAGGCCGTGCAGCAATAAAATGACACCTGCATCATTCTATCACAGCGCAGGGAGGTGCTGTGAACAATTCGTATACAAAGCTGGGCTTAGCATTAAAACTGCATTAAGCAACACAGCTCAACGAGCCTGCTGTACAGTTCTATGGCTAATGTATCGGCCTGCAACATAATAATTGACTGAAAGGAGAATTCATAATGTACCGCTGCTCAATTAATCTGTCAGTGAGAGCAAGCATCAGATGAGTTATGTTCTATATATTAAGAACATTCCATCAGAAGAAATATTACACTAAGAACATTTGTTTTGCCCCATTCTTAAAACAACTGGTTAACTGGCACAGAACTAATGTACATGCAGTGTCGGTGGATGAATAAGCCATGAGGATTTTTATAAATAGAGCCCAATAGGTTTTCATGTTTTAGTGTAAATTCCAATAGTAAGTGATATATTTGCATGCAGTTTTCCAATCTGCCAAATACAGTATACGTTTATATCCACATATTAAAAGCATGTGCTTTCATCATCTTAAAAATAATACGAGGGGCTAATATAGTGAACAAAACGGCCTCCTTCTGAAAATGCTAGCTGCCTGTCTGTGTCTGACCTTAGTACTTCTAAACCACAGAACTTGCATTTAGAGAAGAAAAGTCAGATCTTACCTCTGTACTTGTTTCAGGTCAGCGACTCGAGAATTAAAGGGTTATTAAACCCTCACGTTTTTTTTGCATATATTTACGGCTAGCAAGCAGTAGATATATGCAAGAACTTAAAACAAAAAGCAAAAACCTTTTGAAACGGGTTTAAACTTACCTGGGTCTTCGCCGCGCGCTCCCGTCCAAACATCTGAAAATGTCTTGGGCTGCCGCAATGGATCTTGGGGCAGGCGCGTGGGCAGTTCAAATGTTCGGCCTGGAGATGAGGAGAGACGCAAGGTAAGTCTACGGAGCAGCGTGCACCCGCACAGAGTCCGTGGGACATCAGAGAAGAGGACAGAGGAGTCTGCGCTGGATCGGAGACCCGCACCAGCTTTGAAAACGACAGTAAGGAAGAAGAAGATCGGATTAAGAGGCGTCATTTAAGGTAAGTCCCGACACTAACATTGGGGGGAGGGGGAAAAATCCTTTAATGTTACTTTAAAGAGCTGAAAGGAGACTTCATGGGAACCCAGCTCAGCTATCACGTGAGGAGTAGCCACACATACAGGTCTTAAAGGAGACCTATCAGAAACCAAATATGGGGGCTGCAATTGTTGGCTTCCTTCTGGAAAAAAAAAACTATTTGTGTAAGCCACAAAAAAAACAGTATTTTTGCTGCACGTGATTGGATGATAGAAGTCAGCAGAGCTTCACCTCATTCATTAAGCTAAAGGGAAACCTCATGTGCAAAGTGAACGGCTTGTTTGCCTTCAGTAGTTGAATCCCATTGATTTGGAACTTCGTAGCATGTTAACTTCCGACCTGCATACTTCTGGACCAGTGACTCGGAATGTACTGACGTCAGTAGGTCAGCATAGCAACTAAGTGACCTGCATTTTCAAAAGGTGGTCAGCAATAAACGGACCTATGTTTGTTTTTGTATATGTATAAAACAGATCCGATTATGTAAATCATTTGAATTTGTGTAAATGTTTTAAATCCTTGTTTTATGATCATGTATGTACATGGGGGCAGCCACATTTTATTCATTACATATGCAGGTTATGCCGCCTGCTTTGCCAAACTACACAATGCTTGTGCTTTCCTGCTTCTCACAATGCAAGTTCAAGTCAGCTGACTAATTGAAAACAATGCATGTCGTAGAAGTCTGATATCGGGAGCCATAGTGATAGCACACGGCAATTGTGCGCTCCATCTAGTAACAAATCCACACATCACAAAATATGAAAGAATAAGCATAGAAAATGAAAAGTTGCAATCAGTAAACAGTGCAGTAGTAGCCCGGCATCGGCAACCAATTCCACTCATGTGATATGCAAGACAGCTGAGACACCCAGAGTGTTAGTAGTCTTGGAGCTGTTGGGCCAGCTTGGCTTCTGAACGGGGGCATATTTATAGGTGTCACTTGCTGCCTACAACTGGAAAATCTTTAATATTAAATCATACTGGGAAGCCATGGAAAGGCCCCATTAACATCTGTGTGCTCAGGGTTATTAATGCGTCTTATGTCGTGCTAACGTGCATTGCGTTAAGACAACCCGTTCATTTGAATGGGCTACCAGTGCACCACAGCAGACCAGAAAACGCCCCTGTACTGGATAGTGGATTACCATGTGTTGTGGGTGCATCTGAGGTGTGTTACTTTTGGGCATTGGGGTGCAATTCAAAATTAACTGCACACCAGTACATACATGCGCCTTACCACAACGCATAGGTGTGAAGCCAGCCTAAGGCGTTTTTCCCTTATAGGAAAACTCTAAAATACAAGTATATAACAAATTATTATACAATAAAAGTGCTACATCTGCCATTTTTCAATTTATAGCTGAACTACGGAATATGAATTTATTTATATACAAGAGTCCTATGTATTCTTCTTTGAATCTCTGTGTGCTTTGTGCATTTCTTACAGACCTGATCACTGATCCAGTGGGGAACTTTACCTCTGTACAGGAGATTCCTGTAAATAATCATTTGTATAATTTGCAGTTATTAAGGAGTAGGGATGTCCCGATGCCACTTTTTTAAGACCAAGTACTTCCCCTGATGTACTTGTCAATACCAATTACCGATACTTTTCCTTAAAGGGACAGGTTACTTTAATTGATCCGTAGTACAACTACATATTATGTACTATGGATCATGATTTAACCTATTCATGTTAGCAGGGGAGAATTGTAAAACTATTGTTGCAGTGTAGTGGTGTGTGCTGTATATATGTACTACATATACATTACACACGTCCAGTACACTATAGCAATAGATTTACAGCCAGTCTTGTCCCAGCTTCCCTCACTCACAG